TTTCTGGTCTTGAGAAGGGTTGAAAAAAGGGAAACATACACTCATACTGAAATAATCAAGGTATAGGGTATCTAGTTGAAATACTGTAAATAGGTTAGTAGAATAAAATTTCAGAACTCTAAAGCTTATGTTTATTTTTAAGCTAGAAAGTTGCTTACCTCACCATCGTGAAATCCTGTTACTTTCGTAAAGAAAAAGATCCTATAAAATGGTCAGGTTGGACAGTGTAAGAGGTAGTGATGGCTTTGAGGCACTTCATACTTCATCAGTTTACATTTGGCCAACAGACTGGTAGGGCTTAGGGGTCTCCCCTTCCCCATCTGCAAAATGGCCTAAGAATTATGTTTTCAAGGCTTTGACTCAGATTTGTACTTTGATATGTGAAAGGAAAGTGAATATCAAACTTGTTTATACAGAAGTAAAACTATATAGAAAACTAAGTCTGTATTGAGTATAGTGGTATATATTTTATGTTTACCCCATGCCTGTGCTAACGTTTGTGCTTGGCTTTGAATTATATATATGTTTACGTATGAAATTTTTAAAATAAAAAGAGCAGTCATCTAAAAAGTTTATGGAAAGGAGATTTTTTTTTAATTCTGATTAGATGGTATGTTTTAGATATTTGGTGTTTAAATAAAAAATCTTTAAGAATAATAACACATTTTGCTTGGAATACCCCCAATCCAGAAAAATTGGCTGCTTCTCTCCATTGTATATATGTACATAGTGTTCATTATTAGATTGTAAGCTCCTCCAGGGCAGGAATTGTTTCGTCTTTGTCGTTCCTGCAGCACCTAACGTAAAGAGTGCCTTGCACAGGGTAGGTGCTCATGACGTGAATGAGTGAGTGACTTCCTGCCTCCTTCAGGACGAAACATGGTTCACTTTTCCAGTGTGTTCAACACTACAAAGCCACTAATGCCAGAAGAGGGCAGAGTTCTTCCTTGGGTTTGAGCTAGGTTTCTTGGGTTGAGTCAGACCATACCACACCCTATTTGACCTTTTTTTCCTGAAGATAATCTGTCAGCGTCCTGAGCATTTATCTAATATTAGAGCTCAAGTTTCTGGGAAAACTTTGAAGTGGGGAAGATTATAGAGGAAATGAAATGGAAATTTTGAGAGGATTGTTTGTCGGTGCACAGCTCTGTGGGGCAATCGTATTTTAGTTCTTACTAAGGAAAAGGGTGACAGATCCTCTGTTTCTTTACCAATTAGCTGGTTGACCATTCATCCAGTTGATGAAATCACTGGTTTTTAGCTTTTTCTCATGTTGGATTCCCCTCAATTGCTTATATCATTCTAGTATTTAGAGTCTAATAAAGTTGCTGTGAATATCTAGTGCTGTACATAATGGCAGTTTTATAAATGTGAAATCACCTTGAATATGTTGTGTTTTTGTATGCAGAGCCATTAGTATTGTTATTTTGGCCACTTTTTTATTCAAAATAAATAAATAACAGAATTATTTGTATACTGCGTGTCTATTTTATGGGGCTTACATGGTTTGTAACAAGGCTTAGAAGTCTCTTTAGGCCTGAGCACCCCAACAAGGTTAAGCAATGCCCAGGCATGGGCAGAGAAGGAAAGAGAAATGTTAGGGAAGTGACCACTAGCAACTGCCTCAATCAATTCATTATGTCAATTCGATTGTTTATTTCAGAAAAAGTATGAGAAATTTAAGGGGAAATAATAGAAATTCCGTAGTATGTTAGACTACGTATTCTTAGCAATGTCAGTTAAATAGTGTTTGGTGAGGAAAGGGACTCAACAAGTGTTACGCACTATTTGTAAAAGGGCTGGGTTTTGTACAGATAAGTCGCCTGTGCTTGTGGTAGCAGTAGTGCCTGTATCTGTGGTTCATCCACGCACATCAGAATGACCTGAAAGACTTGTTAAAATGCAGGGCCCCACCCCTGGAGTCTCTGATTCAGTAGGTCTGGTGGAGCCTGAGGATTGCTTTTTTTTTTTTTTAATACAGACAAGGTCTTGCTTTGTTATCCAGGCCGGAGTGCAGTGGCGAGCTCGAAGTTTACTACAGCCTCAAACTCCTGGGCTCAAGTGATCCTCCCTCCCTAACCTCCCAGCTAGGATTAGAGGTATGCTCTAGCACACATGGCTTGTTTTTTTAAAAAAAAATGTTTTGCAGAGATGGGGTCTTACTCTGCCACCCAGGCTGGTCTCGAACTCCTGGCCTCAAGCAACCCTCCCAGCTTGGCCTCCCAAAGCACTGGGATTACAGGTGTGAGCCACTGCACCCAGCCTGAGAGTTGCTATTTCTAATGCATTCCTGGTTGGTATTCATACTGCTGATCTGGGATCTATATTTGGAAAACTGTTGGTCACAGAAGAACTCAAACACTGCTCCCTGCCTCTCCTGTAGTGCCTGCCAGTGGCCTGTGTGGATTATTTGTCTGTATAGATTCTTGTGTACCGGTCTCACCTGAGAGTCTCAACATCACTACGCCAGTTACTTTTAACTTTATTAAGACAGGATTTTTAACTTTAAATTCATCATTTCCTAAGGGAAGACAAGTAGGGTGGACCACTATAATGGTCCTTTTCCTTTCATAAGTCTGGCTTATTTCCTTCTTCCTCTAAAATTCACCTTCAGGTGAAATGAAGCTAGTCCTTCTGTCTGTCGGGGAACTTGATCTTAATTCAGCCCATCACTTGAAGTTCATTGAATAAGAAGCTTCAAAAAAGGCAAAGTATTTGCGCTATTCCATTTTGAGACAATTTAAATGAAATACCAATTGCAGGGATTTCGGTAGTGATAATTGTATAATTCAGACAAACACTCCTGCAGAGAACAACCAAAATTACTAGACACAATTTTAAAAGTATGCATCTGAAAATGTTGGAGACTGAACAAGGCAGTGAAGAATTAGAGGACCAATTTCTGGGAGAAGGAGGAGTCTCAGAGAGGTGAACCCAGGATTTGGGATTGATTTATTTCCCTAGACACATCCACCAATTCCAGAAGAGGCAGGTGGGAGGGCTAAAAAGCTGAGCCCCAAAGGGAAGAACCCCAGGCTGCCCGGCCTGCTGCAGCCCCGTGGCCAGACACTGGTGGTGCCCAGAGCACCAGGTTTAGGTCTAGCAGTGAACCCAGGTGACCTTAGGTAAGTCACTTCCCCTCTGCAGCTTCAGTGTCCTCCTGAGTTGCTGAGGGGACACCCAACGTACCTTGTGAAGATAGTTGTGAAGGTAAAAGGAAATAATGGCAGGGCAGGGTGGGGGCACACGGAAGAGGGTCACGTGCTCCCTGCGTCTAACAGATTGCTGTCCCTCTGGTGCCTGCTCCTGGGCCCTGAGGGCTTTGCAGACCCCAGAGGGACTACTTTTGTCCACTCTGTGGGACCCAAAGGAAGCGAGTCTGAAGTAGCAGCTAAGTCTGTCTAGAGCTGAGCTGTCCAATATGGCAGCCGCCAGCTGCGTGTGGCTATTTAAATTTGTGAAAATGAAATAATATGTAAAAGTCATCTCCTTGGTTGCACTAGCCACATTTCAAGTGCTCAATAGCCACCTTCAGCCAGTGGCTGCCCATCATCCAGAGTTCTGCGGGACGTCGCTGCTCTAGAGACTGGTGTTTGTAAAGCTGGCTTTATTGAGCGCCCATGAGTCCAGGCCCTGTGCTAAGACCTTTGTCTTAATCCCACGGCAACCCTGGGCGGCAGCTACTATCATCCTCACTTTGTTGTGAGGGCAGAGAGGCTCTGAGGGTTAGGCGACTTATCCAAGGACACACGTGTTGGGGCTGTGACTCCGGAGACCCCGTCTGAAGCGCTGAACTTCACCGCCTCCCTGGGCTTCACCTGTCCTGTGTTCCCAGACCCCAAAACAAGGCCACCTTCTAGCCACCTCACCTTCAGGACACATGAGACTGTACCCAGCACTCTTTATTGGCCTAGCGGAGATTTCCAGAAGGGGGTAGGGGATTAACTTGTCTCCCTGGGGAATGCTGGGAACCCATCAGGGGATTTTCTTGGGCAGGGGGTTAATGATCCCACTCTCTACGTATTCGAAGACTGTGTAGGGGTCCTGGTCCCCGTTGAGGGTGACGGCCCGCCGGTAGAACTGCTCCAGGTCGGCAGAGTTCCTGTAGAACAGGTCGACTTTGAGCTTGACCTGCTCTTCGGAATCCTTTGGGTTCTGCAGGAGACGAGCCTGGATCTCCACGGTCGGAGGCGGCTTGTACAGCAGGTGGTACCTACACGGGAGGGGAGAAAACAGGTGACCCGCGGGCCGGCCCAGAGGGCGGGGAGAAAGAGACCCTCTCTTCTGTTGCTGACCGAGTTGGCGTGCCCTGGTCACCACCACCACCGCCAAACATTTACTGTGCACCAGCTGTGTGCACAGCCTCAACTGGGCCCTGGAGCCACAGAGAGATCCAGTATGTGGTCCCTGCTCAAGGGAGAGGGATAGAGAGCAGTGACAGAAGGACAGAGCCAGTAATACACTAAGCATCAGAGTCCCTGCACTCTCTCTCCCCTCCTTCCTTCTTCCTCTTTTTCGTCCTTCCGTACAATACCTATTACGCATCTGCTCTTCGTCTCGCGTCACAGCTGCCCTTGACAATGCCATGGTCAGCAAGACGGCTGTTGACGCCATGCTTGCGGAACTTACAGTCAGGTGGGGGAGTGGGAGATGATAATGACAGCTGTGAGTGGAGGTGACAGGAAGTACCACAGTCACTGCAGGGGAGATCCCAGGGACAGGGAGACATGAAGGCCACAGGACTTGACATGGGTCAGCTAAAGATCACCCCCTAGGAGCAAGGACGGCAAATCAGGGCTATGTTCTAGAAACACCTTGGCTTTACCTTCCTGCCCACCCACAACGCTCCTGAGTCCCAACCAGGAAACGTGGCCCGGTTAGCAGGGAAGATGGCCGCGCCTGCCCGTTTGCGATTGGGGAGGTTTCAATTGCATTTCAACATGAATGCGATGATTGTACTTGGTCAGACTGCAGGATAAAACTGAATACCTGCTGTAACGATGGGAAGGCTCAAAGGTGGCCGTTCCTGTGGGATGTGTTTGTGCGACAGGCACCTCTGGGATGCATCATGGCTCAAGCAGAGGCCCAGGGAATCGCGCAGGGGACACTGAGCTACCGCAGCCGTTTCCCACGCTGGGGTGAAGCTGCTGAGCCCGGGACAGAGTGGGTGAGCGCTTCACCCACGTGTTGCTACAGAGGTTTAGACATTAATTTCCTGGTTACTCTTCTAGGCAGAGAGTCAACAGATACTGCCCAGAAGAGCCAGTTGGATAAAGCCCGTTTCTAGAGTCTTCCTCCAGTGGCAGCCAGTGTTATCCCTGTGGCGGTTCCATTATGGCATTGGTCAGTCAGACGAAGAGGCTCCCCAGCTGGTCCCTGGCAGCCCTCGCAGGGCCAAGCCCCAGGAACCCAGCACCAACCTTTCTCCTGTAACCGGATCAATTCTTCTCAGCGTCAGCCGCTCGATGATGGAATCGAGTGGCACATTCAGGAAAAACACCCTACAAGAAAAGAACTAGATTAATTATGTCTTTTATCCTCTGTATTTTACGATGGTTTGGCAACCCAGGGCCTTCCCAATCCCGGAGAGACTGCCCCTCCCAGGGCTAATCCCCAGAAATGGCGAACAGCTTGCCTGCAAACACGCCTTTCACACACAAACCACCAACCCAGGGCCCGTGTCCCCAAGCCCCTTCTCCGTCTGACTCTCGCACCCCAGGCCAATATTCTCCCTGTCCTAAATCAGCCCAGGGCCAGGAACCAGGCAGTAAGAGACCACCCTATAGCCCAGAGCCCACCAAAATTATTCAAATTGCCCAGTCTGTGACTTGCCTACCCTGCCTCGCCGATTCCCTTCCTTGGGGACCACAGTGAAGGCTGAGGACCGTGCTCTCCCCTCACCTTGCTGCCTCCTGACTGGCTCTGGGGCTCCCCATGTGGCCCTGAGTGGCGTGGTGTGCCCCTCCTCTCAGGGACTGTAAGAAACTCTTCTTCCAATGGCGTTGACCTGTCTGTATCACCACTTGGTCACCTCTATAAACTGAATTTCAGGTACAATTAAGACAAGAACAAGCACTGTGGTCACCTGGAGAGAACCCGGCTGGACTCTGTCTCGCTCCCACCATGCACTTGCCGTGTGACCTTGGCCACTACCCCACCTCTCTCAGACTCAGCTTCCCCAGCTATAAAATGAGGCTAATAATAGTCGCCTAGTGTTGCAGATTTAATGAGATAAAGCGTGTGACGAGCTTAGCGAGGGGTTCTTGCAGACTCAGTGCTCAAACGTGGCAGCGATTATAATTCCATCATCATCATCACCGGAACTCTCCCTGGGAGTTCATGCGCCCTGACTGCCCGTGGCCTCCTTGGAGGGGCGGAGTCGTTTGTTCTTTCTCACTTTCTCTTTCACAAAGAGGCAGGACAGCAAAGCCAACAAGCCCAAACCAGAACTCAACTGAAAAGACAAAGTGTTCACTTCTCGTAACTCAGGACTTTCAGGCTGGGAGCACCTGGGAATACATCTCCTAAATCCCTAGTCGAGGTGGTTCAATCCCCAGCCCTGCTTTTTTGGGCAATGGAACACTTTCTTTACATAAAACCGCAAGAGAGTGGCTCTTGACTAGGGTAATTGTGTCCCCTCGAAGACCTTTTGCAATGTTTGGAGGTGTTTTTGGTTTTCACGGCTTGAGGGGGGTGCTCCTGGCATCCAGTGGGCAGAGGCCAGTGACGCTGCAAAGTGTCCTACAAGGTACAGGACAGGCCACCACGAAGAACGACCTGGCCGCACAGGTAAACGCAAGGTAGAGAAACCCTGCCTCCAGACACGGTGTGAGCAAAGGGGACAGACAAGAGGTGTGGCTGCTTTGGCTGGGAGAGGCGGGTTGGGGACAAACCCCTGTGTCAGTGGCTCCTGCCCACAGGGCGAATCTAGGCCCCTGTCCTCTAGCATTAAACTATCTTTTTTTAAAATAACTTCTGGAATATTCTATTGCTTACTTACTGTTTACTCGTTTATGCTTTAATTCATTTAGACATACATTGATGGAGCGCCGGCTGTGTGCCAGGCACATAGGAGCTCATGTTTAGCAGCTCTGTGTATGGAGCTTAGGCGCCACGTTTAACACGGTTGTCATCATTGATGTCAGTGTTGCGTGTCTAATGTGTGCAGTTTCTACTGGGGCCAATGTCAGTGACAACATTGGTGACAACAAATACTCCCTGTGCACCCAAAGCACTGTGTTCATTTCACTTTTAAGTGGGTAATCTCAGGCCGGCGGCACCTCTGACCGTGAGAAAAGCACACACGAGACCTCCCACCTCCGCTCTCAGGCCGGAGCCTTTTTAGTCCTTTTTAGGACTCCGCCCCCTAAAGCCAGTGAACAAGAGAAGCCACTTGCTGACATCCTTGGAATTCTCCAGATGTGTCGAGTGGGCTGCAAAGAGGCCAAGCTTTGGTAGGTCCAACGGGACACGAGCTCCCATGGCCCCAGACCCGCCTGTCGGGCCCAGGTGCTATCTGCTCTGGCCCCAGCAATGACCACTAAGTGCTCAGGAAGCCCCTGCGAAGGGACAAGCGCTGCAGAGATGCATGCAGTCCTGGGTTCTCTTTAGACTCGCTGCCCACTGCCTTGAGTCTTTCCATTCCAGCTAAGTGGTGGAGCTGAGAATGACCCTAAAACACCAGGATTGGAAGGGATCTTAGATACGTAATTCCCAGAGACCAGCTGCGTCAGAATCCTCTTTGACAGGTGGGATGCCGACACCTGGCCCAGAAATGCTGACTGGCAGGTATGGGCAGGAGCCCAGCGTTGCCCTGGTCACTGGAACCCCTGCCTTGGAGCACACCCGGGTCGGGGATTCTGAACCAGGCACCTGCAGGGCCTGTGAGCCCCTGGGAATGAGATGCAGACTGTTGACTACACGTGAGAACGTGTGCTCTTCTGGGTGCTGGGTGGGTTCGTGCCTCTCATCAGATTCTCAGAGGGGTGCCAGTTCTCGAAAATGGTTACGGGCCACTGGTCTGAGCCAAAGCCTCACGTTTTGCAGAGATGAAGGACCTGGCCTCGGGGGACTGGAGGAGGTGGCAAAGCTGCGGCTGCCGTGATCCCGCACACCGTCCTCACTCTCGCTCCCCTGAGCTTGCAGACACCTCTGACTGTCCTGATTCCCTCTGGGCTGCCGCCCTGACCCCTCTCATCCCTGTGGCCTGTTTGGAACAGGTTTGCATCATAGTCCCGAAAGACACAATCCTGATGCCGTAGTCCCAAATGTTGCCATCCTGAAAGCTGAGTGCCGAGGAAGGATCAGTGTGCTGCTGGTTGTATGCAGTCCAGTTGCATCGGTAGGCGGGCTATTACCTTGCTATTGTCTTATTTGGAAATTAAGGATGTTTTAAGGAGAGGCACATGGGCCTGTTGACGAGGGGTGGATTTGCGGACTTAATTTTAGGTGTCAACTGACTGGATTAAGGAATACCTGGAAACCTGGTAGGGCATTGTTTCGGGTGTGGCTGGGAGGGTGCTTCCAGAGGAGGTTAGCGTGTCAGTCTGATGGACTGGGTGGGGAAGACCTGCCCTCGGTGTTGGCCGCACCCTCTGATCCACCAGGGCCCTGGAGAGAACAGACAGAGAAGGTGAACCAGGCTCTCTCTGACAGCTGGGACAGACTTCTCTTCTGCTGCCTCGGACATCGGAAACTTGACCCCACAGAAGTCCATTGTCCCAGTGTTGACTCTGTGCGTAAGTGCTGTGTGTATGCATAAAAATGCTGAAACTTCCTCAATATATTTTTTTAAATTTAATTTTATTTTTGTGTGTCTGCGGAGACAGAGTCTCACTCTGTCACTCTGGCTAGAGTATAGTGGTGTTGTCATAGCTCCCTGCAGCCTCCAACTTCTGGGCTTAAGTGAGTCTCCTGTCTCAGCCTACCAAGTAGCCGGGACTACGGGCGCACACCACCAAACCTGGGTAATGTTTTCTACATATTTTTTATTTTTTTAGTAGAGATGGGGTCTCGCTCCTGCTCAGGCTGGTCTTGAACTCCTGAAGTCAAGTGATCCTCCTGCCTCAGCCTCCCAGAGTGCTAGGATTATAGGTGTGAGCCACCACGCCCGGCCGAAACTTCCTCAATAAATGAAGAGATGTTCTTTTTATACATCTAGATTTGTGAAAGATAAAATTTCTTGAGATCTCGGCTCTTTGGGCAACTGCCTGTGTGGTTGGGACCCATCATGGCTTTTGGTGGATCTTGTCAAGAGACTTAGGTTGTGTTGAGGTGGGAGGATCGCTTGAGTGCAGGGTTTGAGGCCAGCCTGGGCAACATAGCAAGAACCTGTCTCTAAAGAAAGAAAGACCTAGGTTGTCTGCCATGGTATTTCAGATGACTGCAGTTATAAAGCTGAGTGCACGCAGTCACCAAACATGGCGGTATATGTTTACACATTCACTTTTTGACCTATTTCATTATGAATTTCATTTGTCTGCTCATAACGTTAGACCCGTGTGGCTGTCCTTAGTATACCTGAGTGTTTGTGCTTGCAAAAATATGGGTCTTACTATTGCCTATTTTATTGTGTAAAGCAGCCTATGAAGTGTTCTGTTGCGTTTTTATGCTTCAAATAAATCCCCTTTTAAAATGCAAATTTAAATGTTTTTTCCAGAATTATATTTTCAGAATTTCAGTAAAGTCTAAAAGTTTGATCTTTCAGGATTTCAACATCTGGGGTTACAGCGTCTGGGACTGTGATCGACTCCTGAGCTAACTTGTTCCAGGGCGGGAAGGCCGGCACGAGGAGGCCCAGAGGTCACCAATGTGAGCACTGGCTCCTCCTGGCCACAGAAATTTGTTCATAGTGCAGGGCTGACCCAAGCCAAGATGATGAGAGGCTGCCCTGGAGCTTGCTGGGGAGAAGGAAGTCTCATTTCCACTGAGGCTGCAAAACTGATAAAATGGAAGCCCAGGGTTGTCTGGGCCCTGCATCCAGAGAGAGCCTCCCTGAGAATGAAGCCCAGCCCAAGAGAGCAGAAAGATGGCGAGAGACATTGTTTGGGCCCTGGATCAAGCTATGCCTGCAGCCAACCTCAATGTTTCACCGACATGAATACATAAATCTCTTCTTTCACTTAAGCCAGTTTGAACTGGATTTCCTGCAATCGTTACCCAAAGGACAGCTAATATACTAGTCTCTCCGACATCACTTTCTTCTAGAAAATGTGTGAACTTAAAAAAATTGCAAGTCCCTGAGCCAAATGCTCTCTCTGCTCCAAGGCCAGCTTCTCCCCCGGCCTTTCTTCTCCCTCCCTCACTTGGCCCACGCTGTTCGCCCAGGTTCGCTTCCGCCCAGTCTCCAGGAAGCCCCTCACTGGCGCCTGGAAGCAGCAGCTGCCCCTC